ATGGCAATTTTCTCAGATATGGTAGAGAAATTCATTGAAATCTTTATGGATGACTTCTTGATCTTTGGGACCTCATTTGATGAGTGTTTGGATCACTTAAACTTGGTTTTGCAAAGATGCAGAGAAACGAACTTAGTATTGAATTGGGAAAAATGTCATTTCATGGTTCAAGAGGGAATAGTCTTGGGATATAGAGTATCAGAAAAGGGGATAGAGGTGGATAAGGTGAAAATTCAGGTTATTGAGAAATTACCACCACTTACATCAATAAAAGGAGTTCGAAGCTTCCTTGGGCATGTAGGGTTTTACAGGAGGTTTATAAAGGACTTCTCCAAAATCACCAAGCCTCTGTGCAACTTGCTAATGAAAGAGGTATCTTTTGAGTTTGATGAGGAATGTTTGATAGCGTTCAATACTTTGAAGGAAAAACTCACAACAGCGCCTGTGATTGTGTCACCTGATTGGGATTTGCCGTTTAAGCTAATGTGCGATGCGAGTGATCATGCAGTTGGTGCGGTATTGGGACAAAGAAAGAATAAAATCTTTCATGTGATATACTATGCAAGTAGAACTTTGAACGACGGCCAAATCAACTATGCGACGATTGAGAAGGAATTGCTAGCTGTGGTTTATGCATTCGACAAGTTCAGATCATATCTTGTTGGGTCTAAGGTCATCGTCTACACAGATCATGCTGCTCTGAATTATCTTATGATAAAGAAGGATGCTAAGCCGAGATTGATCCGCTGGATATTGTTGTTGCAAGAGTTCGATATTGAGATCAAGGATAAGAAGGGCAGTGAAAATGTGGTAGCCGACCACCTATCAAGATTGGAACGGGATGAACTTGAGATGTCAGTTGACATCAATGAAATCTTTCCAGATGAGCAAATTTTTGGAGTAGAAATAGTCCCATGGTACGCTGATATTGTTAACTACCTTGCTAAGTTCATCCCACCACCAGAGTATTCTAGCCATCAAAGAAAGAAGTTCTTCGCGGAGCTGAAGTATTACTTTTGGGAGGATCCTATTCTCTACAGAAGAGGCGCAAATCAGATAATCAGAAGATGCATTCCTGAAGATGAAGTACCGGAGATTCTAGAACATTGTCACTCTTCTGCATATGCTGGGCATTTTGGAGCTTCAAAGACTGCTGCAAAGATACTACAGTCGGGTTTCTATTGGCCTACTTTATTCAGAGACACATTCGAGTATGTGAAGAGATGTGATAAATGTCAACGACCCGGAAATATCTCAAGAAGAAATGAGATGCCATTAAATTACATCTTGGAGGTTGAAATATTTGATGTCTGGGGAATAGACTTCATGGGACCTTTTTCCCCATCGTACTCAAATCAATATATCTTGGCGGCCGTTGACTATGTCTCTAAGTGGGTGGAAGCTGTTGCATTGCCTACTAACGACGCGAAAGTGGTGATAGAGTTCTTGAAGAAGTACATATTTACAAGATATGGTACACCGAGGGCAATAATAAGTGATGGGGGCAAACACTTCATAAATCGTCAATTAGAGCAGCTGTTGAACAAATATGGGGTGAAACATAAAGTAGCAACTCCATATCATCCATAAACCAATGGGCAAGTTGAAGTTTCGAACAGGCAGTTAAAGAGAATACTGGAACTTACAGTGAACTCATCCCGAAAAGATTGGTCTAAGAAGCTCGACGATGCACTGTGGGCTTACAAAACAGCATTTAAGACACCAATAGGAATGTCTCTATACCACCTGTTTTTGGGAAAGCGTGTCATCTACCATTGGAGTTAGAGCATCGAGCATATTGGGCTATGAAACAGTTGAATATGGATCTCAAGGCTGCTGGTGAAAAACGACTGCTGCAACTTAATGAATTGGATGAGATGAGAATGGAAGCTTACGAGAACTCAAAGTTGATCAAGGAGCGCACCAAGAGATGGCATGATTTAAACATTCAGAGGTGAGAGTTTGAAGTTGGCCAGAAAGTGTTATTGTACAATTCTAGACTCAAACTCTTCCCAGGAAAGTTAAGAACAAGGTGATCGGGTCCCTATACCATAACTAAGGTGATGCAATATGGGGCTATTGAAGTGAGTCACGAGACCAAAGGTACTTTCATCGTCAATGGGCAAAGACTGTGGGCTTACAGAACAGAGTTTAAGACACCAATAGGAATGTGTACATACCGCCTGGTTTTTGGGAAAGCGTGTCATCTACCATTGGAGTTAGAGTATCAAGCATATTGGGCTATGAAACAGTTGAATATGGATCTCAAGGCTGCTGGTGAAAAACGACTGCTGCAACTTAATGAATTGGATGAGATGAGAATGGAAGCTTACGAGAACTCAAAGTTGATCAAGGAGCGCACCAAGAGATGGCATGATTTAAACATTCAGAGGCGAAAGTTTGAAGTTGGCCAGAAAGTGTTATTGTACAATTCTAGACTCAAACTCTTTCCAGGAAAGCTAAGAACAAGGTGGTCGGATCCCTATACCACAACTAAGGTGATGCAATATGGGGCTATTGAAGTGAGTCACGAGACCAAAGGTACTTTCATTGTTAATAGGCAAAGAATGAAACATTATTGGGGCTGTAATTTCCCTAAGCAGAAGTCCACTGTGCAACTCAACAACCCAATGCGAAGAAGATACAGGAAAGTCGAGCTATCGACTATAAACTGGCGCTGGGTGGGAGGCAACCCACTGTATCCTTCAATTTATTTTATTGCATTTGTTTAGGAATTTGTTTACATTTCGTATGTCATTGATCATTCACGCATGATAGTCTAGGCACTACACGTTTCCAGTTGCATGAGTTGGGGTTAAATTTCGTGTTTTTGGGTGTTTGAGTGTGAAGTAATGAATTTCGTGGTTCAATGTCGTTCGTTTTATTTTTTGAGATTTTTTTAAAAAAAAAAATTTCGAATATGTAGAGTCGAGTCAATTTTGAAATTGAAAACCAATTTCGGGGAATTTTTAAAATTTCAAGGTGTGTTTGGGGTTAAAATTATAAGTTGCTTTAGTTTTAAAAAAAATAAATTTGGGCTTTGTCCATGTGGCCGCATGGACCCTGACCGAACCAACATAGGGAGAATTCAATTACACCATGCGGCCGCATGGTGTATAAGTGACGGGTTATTAACCCGTCACTTGCTAAACAACCCATTTTTTTCCTCCCCCCTCCCCAAATCACTCCCACACGAACACATGCTTCTCCCTCCCCCTAAATCCACCTTCACACACAACATCAATCACCAACACTCTTGCACATCTTCACCCTAACCCCACATTATTCCCAACATTGGCATAAATTATCAAGAATTTTGGAGCAAAGCTTCTACTTTCCTTTCACAAAGATCTCAAGGTAAGAAATTTAATTTCTATGCAAAGTTTAAAGTTCTTCTTTGATTTCATGACATTTTCGAATTGGGTAAGTGTTGAATTGTGATTTGTGGACTAGCCCTAAGTGTAAATCAAAAACAAAGTGAAGGAAATTCCCAATGCACACAACGTGTTCGATTAAATGTCAATGAGGCATATGATTCGAAATTTTGGATTTCATGACATTTTCGAATTGGGTAAGTGTTGAATTGTGATTTGTGGACTAGCCCTAAGTGTAAATCAAAAACAAAGTGAAGGAAATTCTTAATGCACACAACGTGTTCGATTAAATGTCAATGACACATATAATTCAAAATTATGAACTTTTCATTTGTGTGATGATTTACCTTGTTAATGTGAGGCGTACTAGACGAGCAATTTCATGGAATTTCATTAGAAAACGTTAGCCTCACATATTTGTGCACATAACCACATAAATTACTAAGCTATGTCAACTCACGTCACTAATTTCATCCATGTATTTTCCTAACCAAACGACCTCCGATTGTAGTGAAATTTGGATATATACTAGACCACAATGAGTACTTTCATATGTCCAGACATTGTCCGGGGAAATTTTAATATTTCTCGGTGATGTTTGGGGCTGAAGTTGGTCACTTAATCATGGGTCGAATTTAAAAAAGTGCATGTTAGAGCCATAGTTTTGAGTTTTTCTCATTAATGCAATATTAATGTAACATTAACTTCCATGCGTTGAATATTGAACACATTTTCAAGAAAGTTTGGGGGATTTGTGCATGACAATGATATTCTTTATCGTTTTCTTATTTCAAGAACTTGATGCACTTCGTTCCTTATTTGTGTAGGATGCCGCCAAAGAGAACATCAAAAGGTAAAGAAAAAGTTGGTTCCTCCTCCGGCACAGCCCGCACCAAAGAGCTAATAGGAGGTGTACGAAGATTTCGTGATGCAGAAACATTAGCTCGATATGAGAACATAATACACCATTGGGGCATAATACCAGAGAGACAGGTCCGGTTAGATGATTTTCGTGGTTTTGAGTTGACAAATTTATACAAATCTGTGGATGGGAGAAGATTGTAGAAAAGCCACACTCGGCTTATGAAAGTATAGTCCGCGAATTTTATGCAAACTTCAATAGTGAAATTGAGACTCCGG